GATCCATCACTCGGATCCATGCACATTGCACGTCTGGTCTGGTCATGGTTAGGTATACGTGACCCAAGGTCACTGTCCTGGTCATATGTTGATGTGTGTATTGAATGGTTGATAAGTACACATATCAGGGCCAAGAAAAAAAGTCAATTTTTCTTTTCTATTTTTGACATTAAAAGGCACTTTTCTAGACGACCTTTGTCCCAGGAATCTAATGCTGCCATTTATTTTCACATGCGATGTTCAGAAGTGCCTAAAAAAACACGAAAATGCTCATGACGTCACCATGCCCTATACATGTTGGAGCTATTTTTTTACAATTTGGGGGTAAAAATCAAGATATAAAGTGGAAATTTGGAACATGGAATATTCAAATAGGTCTCTATAACTATATTCCGTTTTTTTTTTATTTTGAAAATTTTGGAATCTAGTAACAGTCATCCAAAAACTGTTTTGAATTTTTAGGGGTGAAAACGCATTTTATGAGAAATGCGAGATGGCTATTTTAAAGAACTCATTGAGCTACGTTTATTCATGTCCTTAATTTTGAACTTTGCTTTAAAACTTGATCTTTGGCGATTTTCAAACACTTATCATTTTGACGTAAAAATCCATATAGTTCAATCAATAAAATAGACATACCTATCACATTTTTTTGCAAAATTTATATAAAATGACAAATGATGTAAAATTAATAAGCGAGAAGGTGTACGAAGTTTCAAGTTGATAGCGTAAGCGGTTCGTTAGTTATTCCAGAAAAATACAGGGGGGTCGGATCCACCTCCCCCCCCCCCCCCGGCGGTCACGGGCTAACGTGTCCGTGTCAGCACCATTAGACCAAACATTACGAGCGCAAAATGATCCCCGCAGTCAACGTGCTCTAAAGCCCTAATAAACAAACAAAAAGACCCGTTAGATTCGGTGACGGGCCCGGCGGACGGTCACCGTCTACTTACCCCGCTGCGGCGACAGGGGGGGGGGGGGGCAAGATCGGAACCAAATCGGAACCGACTGCCGGTCGGAGTATCAGAGTCCGCCCCAGAATACAACCGCCAACATAAGAGCCGGCCAGCCTCGGACGAAGGGACGCGCGGCCCGCAGCCACCGCCGTCAGCACAGAATCGCCCCCGGGGGGGGGGGGACGGGGGGAGGGGGGCAGCGGGATAGGTGGATACGAGATGCAATGTCATGATACGCACTTCTTTGAACAATGAGCATGGCTTTTAGGTATCATTTTTGTTAAATACCTATCAATCATCACAGCATTTGATCAATAGCAGAACATTGCATTGAATATTAATTTGACTGTAGCAACGACAATTTGGACCACGGTCCGTGATAGAAGTAGGGCTAGAACCAGACAATTGCTCAAATATTTATAAGTGAGGGATGTGCATGTTTGACGAAAAGAAATCCAGTCGATGATTATACTTGAGAAGTTGAGCACGGAAAAGCTGGTCGGCTGTCGTCATTCGAGTTTCTTCCGACCGCTTTTCGGCAAGACAGCATCGACCCATCGACCGCCTATTGCTATTGGGAGGGGGGCGGGGGGGGGGGGGGGCAGGGGGTTCTGTTTTTGATAGCCGCGCCAATCGCCGTCCAATAAACTTTGAAGGTTCATGTCACGACACTGAATGCATTAACTCGGCAGAAAAACGTCATATTTGTCTTCGTGTAAAGCAAGTTGAAACCGCCACAAAAAAAAATTCGGACACCTATGCAAGCGCAAGACGAAAATCTGCTATCACGGTAGGCACTTCGCAACATCATGATACCAAAACTACACATGAATGCACCAGTCGAATCATCATTAGCGGAAAATTTCACTCATAGGCATAACTTTAAACTTACCTATAAATTGCAGGCACGCTTATGAAGGTTAGCTTGTTGCTCGTATTTGATTCTATCACGACTCTTCAGTCAGTCGTGGAATATCTAAACAGAAAATTCAATCGTCGATAATCCGCCGGGTCAATGAACGTTAACAATGCACGTGACGTCTCCGCACCGTTGCCCATTTCGAGGTTAGGCGGCAGTGGGCCGACCGGGGGCGGCCGCTGATTGGTCAGAATAAGCGGCCACCTGATTGGCGGAGCGGTGACCGGGCGGCCCCCTGATAGGTCGCCGCCGGCCCGGCCGCTTCAGAATACGCGCCGTCAAACAGTGAAAGGTGTGCTAAATCGATTGCAAAAATATCTGATTATCTCACAGAGAAGGGGGTATCTGGTGCATTCACCCCTTCGGCAGCCTCCTAAATCGTTCAAAATTTGTCGCTTTCCGTTAATTGACAACAAAACAGCAATTTTTACCAGAAAAGGTCTTGCTTTCACGATCTCAGCGAAGCATGAGGTACCCAAACCGGAGGAGTCTGGATAATTTGGGACGATTTTTTTGTAGAGAACGCCCTGCAATGTGCAGTACTCCCTTTCAGCATCAGCCAGTGTACGATTAAGACACAATTAGGCCGAACAATTGGCTGCAAACCTATGCTAATAATCAGCAGTTGCCAAAACACGGACACCCGATGAACAACCAAACTCGGCCGGCCGGTCTCTCAGCCGGCCATACCTATACGCCACAGCTGGTGGATACGCGTCGGGCGGCCGGCGGGGGGGGGGGGGGGCGGGGCAGCGGGAGGGAAGAGCGTATTTGGCCGCGCCAGTTTACGTCGAAAAGCAAATTAGATAAGAAGACCGAACGAAAACTCCCAAAGGGTAGCTTCGAAATCAGAATCCAGTTTTTCACTCGGTCAGTCAGCCCTCGCTCTTCGACAGACATGTGCATGGATTCGAGTGATGGATCTATGATCTCAGACATCAGTGGATCTCGAAGCAAACTGCAGATTAGGATCTATCAGGCGACCGGATCCGGTATGAAAAGTCTGTCCTAGATCTATGATCTCATAGGATCTGATGATAGGAATCAAGAATATGCAGCTATGATCTGAGTGGATCCCACCATGCACAAAATTTGAAACCAAGTTTCCAAGTGTTTCTACGTCAATTAGTGCCAAAAAAAAACTATGGATTGGGACAAACATATCGGAATTTTTATATCGGCGATCTAAGATCAGAGGCCATTTATTCAGACGCTTCCATTCGACTACCATTCGCTCCCCTGGGATTATGACAATTCTCCGCCCATGAGCGTAAACACGATGGGCACGTAAGCGGATAGGGCTTTAAGCCTTTACTGTTTCACTCTGTATGTGAAGGAATGCAAAAGCCAGGCATCGGACCTAACAAAGAAAATGCATGCAGTCTTGATCAACCTGCTTCAAACGGTTATGTACCAACTCCGGCACCCAGCTGCCGGCTGCGCCACAACGAACTCGAAGCGGCCAGAGTAGCGTCGCTCCTCTCCCTAGATGGCTCTAGTAGTACAGCGCCTGAACTCCCGCTGTGCCGCAAGACGCGAGCCCGGGTCTGGCAGCGGCGAACTGTCGCCTTCAATGAGCTTTTGAGCGATGTAGTTAGATATGCAATGCGCAATATTCTGCGATCGATGCAGGCAGGCTAACTCTAAATCAGGCGGTACGAACAGTCGGCTATACCTACGGTACTCGGGCCTGTGTTGAGTTCATCACTTTGATCCTGCAGTGCTGCCTGTTCGGTACAATAGGAAATGCGAGCATCCACACCGTGGCAGTGGACAAGACACGGACCGTCGTACCAGCTGTGGCCACACTGCAGGTCCTCGGGAGTACGTGCCCCCGAGCGGCGACCCCGTCAGCCCGAGGCTGACGCCCTCTGACCAGTGCGATATTGACAGATGACAGAACTGACAGAGGGCAGCCGAGCGGAGAGCGGCGCCGGCCCGACGGCATATGGTGCAGCCGGCACGGCTGAGGCCGATCTATTGGAAACGGGATTTCACAATTCATCCAGGATGGCGAATGACTTGTATGTAGGTACAGTACGGCGAGACAAGCCTAAAATTAAATAATACACGTATGTGTATTTTCAACTGCCTATGTTTTATTCACCGTAAAACAAAATAAACTATTGCTCTTCCAGGGTTACTAATGGTGCATTTATCGATGCTTGAATATTATTCTTTCTGTCTCAGTGACTGCAGAGCGGTGTTTCACTGGACGCTGATATCACGCTGCCGGCGCATTTCGCGACCTGACGTCACAAACTGTGGCAGTGTTGGAGATACGAGTTTGTTGATGTCTCCATGGAAACTCAATTTTACACGTGTGCTGGCAGCGCGCTAGCGGCGGCCGTGAAACAGGACCCCGAGTCCGAGCACCTACTCTGGAGCCGGGCGTGGCCGCCGATGCCACCAGGCCCGCCAGTGTTGCCGCTGCTCCCGTTCTCCTCGGGCGGCGCTGGCAACGTGCCGCCCTGGGCGGGGGCGGGCCGGTACCGGTCCTGGTTAGCCCGGCTCCGGAGCGGTGCACGGTACACCGCTGTATCCAACACACGTACAGCGCGGCGGCGAACCTCCCACGGTGAACCAGCGCCGCGCTCCGTCACCGCGGCTCTCCAGTCTTCCGTGGCCACCCTTCATCCGTGCGGATCCTCTTCATATTCCACCGCCACCGACAGACTCGTCCCCACTCCGTGCCTGGCCGGCGGCGGTGGTCCGCCGGCTCAGCTGGCTGCTCGGGCTGGTCGTCTGCCGCAAGGAGCCCGGCCCCGGCCGGCGCCGGCTCACAGTCGGGCTCCGTCTGGAGCGCCCCCCGTCAGCCGGCTGGGACCGGGCCGCCGCCGGCGACTCGAACCGGAACGGCGGCGTGGGCGAGCGGGCGCGGCCGGCGGCGGCGGGCCCGGCGCTGCCGGCGCCGTACTCCACCCGCCGGGCTGCCGGCGCGCCGGTGCCGCCCTCTAGGGCGCTCTCGTAGTCGGTTCCCGTATCTCATTGCAGACAAACTTGGACGGCACTGGCGGCGAGGGGGCGACGGCCGTCCGGCCGCGGCTCGGTCGACACGCCAGGGCACCGCCGGAGTCGGCCGCTGCTGGCCAGACGTCTGGTGACTGACTGACAGACGTGTCCTGCTGAGGTGAACCGCTGAGCTCCGGCTGGCCCAGCGGCCCGCGGCGCCGGACAGTGAGCCAGCGGGCACGGCCGAGTCTAGCGCCGTCGACACCATCCAGAGCCGCGACACCATCCCTCTGCAGCAGACACACACAGACAGACACACAGTCACAACCTCTGAGAAATGCAGACATATCAGCTCACAGGCCCCCCGTTCGGGCTCTAATGCAGATGACAACGATAATTTCTTAACCGCGGGTGGGAGCTCGCACTGAAAACGAGCCAATAACAGCTACTTCATTTGCGCAACTTCAGTTGGCGGAGCTCGATGGGAAACTTGGGCTGCTCCACAGGTCAGTACCGAGCAGCACAGTCAGTGGAGACAGCACACACCGGACAATCCGGGCAGCGGACTCGGACAGGACAGTAGACTCGGACTGGGTATCAGACACGGACCCAAAATCAGACAGGGGCCAGACAGCGGACACAGACAATGCTTCAAGGGTCTGAATGTCAATGCTTATCATGTCTGTTCATTGATATTCATGCTATATCAGTCGGGAACACTCCATGGAGATTATCAATTTCCATTTAAATTATTTTGGTATATTGGGAGCCCCACTCGATTTCGTTCAAAATCGCCACACAGGTGCCCAACCACCAGACGAAAAACTTCTCATATCCCGCTACGTTTCATAACTCACAGTCTCCGCCCGGTCTCGGAGGGATGTCGCCGCCCTGACCCGAGATAAGCTGCGCGCGCCGCCGGCCCGGTCGTCAGTCGCCGCCGGCGCCGGCCGGCGCCAGAGTCTGGTCAGCTCCAAACACTGTCCGGCCCTGTATCGCAGGGTGTAAGCATCAGATGTGGGAACGATCAATGCAGGGACGTAGAGCACTCACAATGGACTTCACTGCCTGCATTGAGTGACCTGTGACCTTCTTTCGAGACCATGTTTGGCCGGAATCGCGATTCAGCGTATGTCGGCTCGCATTAGCCGCGGGTTTGCAGTCTTTTCTTGGTTTAAAGCGTTCAAACATGAGATATTATGCTGCTCCCATGCATTAGGGTGGGTGTCAAGGTCACCAGAAGGTCAGGTAAGGTCATTGACCTTTGATGACCTTGGTTCACTTTTTCGAGTTTTACATGTTTCTAGGCTAGTTTTTGGAGCTGAATTCGAATCTAGCAACCATTTGAACATTTACTATGTAGCTTTGGTGCCTTCGTAACATGTTACAAAGCTGTCAGAGGCGGTTGCCACCTACTGCAAATACCCGGCAAAACCCTTACTGGTTGACCTGACCTGACCTGACCCGACCTGGCCTAAATGTATGAAGACATCATCTATGATCGTAAATAACATTATATTCGTGATCAGCACCCAAAAAAACCCATAGCAGCCACCATTTACGACGCTCTAACAGGTCCCGATTTTCCCGACTTTTGTGTCATTGACCTGACCTGGAAGGTCAACCGATGACCTAGGACCTTACAATTGGGTATCATCAGCTTCCTCTTGTCACGGGCAACACGCTCGTCTTTTCCGCGAAGCTCTAGCTCGATCAGGGGCGAAGCGGCGGGGGGAGGGGTCCAACGGACCCCTTCTATACGTTCGCGGCTGGAAAAACACCACTAGGGGCGAGGGTTAAGCCAAATCTGAGGGCTTATTTCAGAAAGACCGCTAAAAGAGCAATTGAATGCACTTTTCTGCGACGATGTAGCTCTATTGGTCCCCGAGGTAAGAGCCGGTTTTCGAGAAATGTTGATATATGCAACATTTTACCTTTGATGACCTCTGGTGACGTGACCTTTGACCTGACCTAGAAATGACTAATTACTCCATCTGGAATTTCGGGCGCTCTTTCGAATGCCACTTACTACGTGTCGCTATGTGGCCCAAGAGCCGAGTTTGAAGGGGAGTGTTCAATCAACACCTCCCGGCCCGGCGCGTTTGACGCCGAGCACCGGTCCGGCGCGGGTTGATGTTTGGCTGCTACATCCAAAGTCGCAAAAAGTCGCAAAAAATGACTATTGGATCTTGTAGTGCAATGAATCATTGACATGTAGCGAGATTTTCGAAGCGGTACTCTGCGGTACTTTTTTTAAAAGTCTATTTGTGTGTGACATCAATTATGTGAAATTATATTTTCGTCTTTAAATCTTTGCGGTGCGAATACATCAAAACCAAGTAAGAGTTCGCCATTTTCAAGTGGTTATGTGTGTTCTGCAGACCCGGAGCTATCGTTTGATGTATATAAATGTGGAATTCCTCCTCAAATTGTGATTGTTTTCGTGGATCAAAGACACGTTGTCGAAGAGTGCGGGGGACGAGTTCGGTCCAAACGATTCCGAAGTTCGTGTTTAAGCTGAGTTTTCGCCATGAAATAGCAATTGTGTTGGAAAACAAAGACCACAGCAATGTAGTATGATCATTTTTGAACAAATTGGTATAGGTTTCATTGCACATCCACAAAGTTCGATTTTTTACCCATGTCGTGCTAGACCTGGCGATCGGCCCAGTGTGCGCCGGCCGGTCCTACCCCCACACCGGCCGGCGTGTGACATAGGTAACGGCGCCGTCACCCGGCGGCCGCCGTGGGCGCGGCGGCCCCCACGGCGCCGAGCCCGGCCTGGGCAGCGGGCGGACGTGCCGCGGAGGAGCACCGGTCGGCATTTACAGAGCGGCACCGCCTGCCCTCCCTCCCCAGTGCCGTCCTATCGTCCGCTCTGCTCCCCGCCCAGCGCCCACTTCAGTCCGCCCAGCTGAGCCACGGCGCACAGCAGAAACGCCGCTCTGGGTCCTACCCTACCGAAAAAGGGAAATCAATCTGAATTGGCTCCAAACGGATTTACACTGTCCCGTCTTTCATCATAACGGCAGTTTAAAATGGATGGTGTTGTATGCACTATTTAATGAAATTATGAGATATCATGGTTCGTAAGGTCCGCCGTCGGTTCCTGCGTGTCGCTGCCGTCAGTCGTCTGCGCTCGGTCCGTCAGCCCTCCGTCTACCACCACCCCCCCGTCCGTCCGTCCGTCTACCCCCCCCCCCCCCCCGCCGGCAGCCATGGACGCCCACCTGCAGTGCTGCTGATCGCCCTGCTGACCTCGATGGCCTACGAAAGCTCCGCCACCGAGGGTATCTCGGCCGGCACCGCGCTGGCCATCGTCGTCGCCGTCATCGGCCTCAACGTCGCCAGTGTGGCCGGCTTCAACATCGCGCGCTCGTTGGGCGGTCGGCGCGGCGGCGGGTACGGCGGCCACCGCTGGCAGCGGGCCGCGGTCGCGCCGGCTCCCCTGTGCCCCTGAGCCGGCGACTCGCTGAGCTGCCGCCGCGCCTGCTCTACGAACTGGAGGCTGCCGAGCACGCCCAGTTGGCGTACGACGAGCGGCTCATCCACGGCGTGTTCAGGGGCTGTCTGGTGCCGGGCCACAGCGCTGACCACCTGGGAACACGGGGGGGGGGGGGGGGCGGTCATAAGGCGCTCTTGTAGGACAATGCAGGGGATAACAAACACGTGAGTAACAACTGGTCGAGGTGCTGGTACGGGGTTGTAAGTGACCACTGTTACATGTGTTAGCTGAATACTGAGCCCTGCGTTATTTAACAGTAACTTCCCAGCATGGCATAGTGACTCGGCATTTCCTGCTGCTCACGCACTGACGTACTGTTCTGCCGCGCTCTGGCCTGCTCGTCCGGTGCTCTGCGCTCCCTGCTGATCCCCGCTCCGCTCCGTCGACAGGGACTCGCCGGCGGCGCCCCAGCTGGCCCGCTATACCGCGGCCGGCGGCGGCAGCATGCTCGTACGCCCGGGCCGCGCTGTGGGTGCTCGAGCAGCCCCTGGAATTCACAAGTTATAATGCGTCTGTTGGGTTGTGGCCAGAGGTGGAGATCTCGGGGGGGCGGGGGGTCAGGACCCCCCTGAAAACGAATTACTGCTATGTAAGTCAATGGTACTGCATCCAGCCCGCCTCCATCTGCCTGGACCCGCCGCCCCCCCCCCCCCCCTCCCTGACATTTTGACAGATCTCCACCCCCGGCTGTGGCCGCTCTGCGACAATCTAGAGCTCGGCGACGCGCAGACACAACAGTGTCTACATCATGCATGTCATCTGAGACACAATTTGCCTTTCATAAGTTGCGTTTACAGCAGTGTTGGTGGGAGATGTTCTTCAATGTTCCAACCATAATAGACGTATAAGCCGGAGCTGTTATAACAGACTATGTCTATCTCATAATGGAGGCAAAATATGACACGCGCCGAGTTATCATAGAACTGATAAATGCCGAGCTTAAGCCAGCAACCATCAATCATTACATCTGCCATGCCCTGCTCAATGCTCCATACATATATGTGGTTAAGACAACAATAGTTTTGTGTAAGCAGACATTCACTACAAGTTTATGACAATGTGATTCAGGTTGTATGCTTTGGAAATCCTGTTGTAATAGGAGTAAATGTTCAAAGCCATGCCTTCCCTTAAGGCGCATTTACAATAAAACATACTTCACTGCAAGGGATTGAATGGAAATGAAAGGGCATGAAGGAACACACTGGACTGCTAGCGACAGTACCTGAGAACATGAGCAGGCCGCCCACCTGGGGACTAGGTGACGCGGCCAATCCTCTCCTAGTCGTCTCGCACACCGGCATTGGCACCTCAGTCCACATGCCAGCCCAGGCAAGGCCCACAGTCCAAAGGCGGATGTGAGCCTGGAGGCTTCAGTTGGCTGAGCTCGACAGGAAACTTGAGCTGCTCCAGCATCAGAGTAAGAGCCTGCAGATCGGCAGAACAGGGCACTGGTCAGTACCGAGCAGCACAGTCAGTGGAGACAGCACACACCGGACAGTCCGGGCAGCAGACTCGGACTGGGTATCAGACACGGACCCAAAATCAGGCAGGGGCCAGACAGTCGGACACAGACAGAACTCAAGGATCAGAATGTTAATCAAATCAGGTCATTGATATTCATGCAATATCAGTTGGGAACACTTCAGGGAAATAATCAATTTCCAAAGCTGACACTCAAGTAGCCGATCAGAGCAGTCAATCTTTTATTAACCCCAGGTATGTGACAGCATATTATATAGCATGTGACCTATTCCCCATGAGGCAGTGCGGGATTAACGTAAGCCCAGGCTCCACTTAACAATTTTCCCTGCGTTTTTATAATAATGTGAGAATGAGATGCAATTCACGATCCCAGAAAATGTATATCTAGTGCAAACTGATGCCTAAGCCACACTGCCGAAATCTCATTGCTAAATGTCACAATATCGCTCACGCATTATCGCAGAAAAGTTCAGAACATTGATCATTTTTGCATTATCGCGATATATATATTGATATCCAGGAATGATGACTATCCTCACACAAGACAGGATAAATGGAGCTATCAAGTAAGCCCAAAAGCCATACCGGAAATGATACAAACACTACCTACTTTTGAAGTGGATAAAATGAATTGTTTTGGAGTCTCACGAAACATATTTCGGATGACGCATCACACAAACTAACGCACAAGGACTGTGTTCAAAAGTGTAAGCGGCAGCTCCGCAAGCACTTGTTGACTTATTTAAAGCATACTTACTATCCATTCGCCATAGCATCAAATAGGCGTTACGAATTTCGAACACTATCTGAGTGCGCCGAGTTTGACGACATTTAGGACGATAGGTTACGATTTTCAGCTGATTGAAATAATAAAAAGCGAGAAAGCTTAACTTTAAAATAAACTCAACTCATATTATTTTTTTTTCAAATAGAATAGAAAAAAAATATTTAACAATTACTGGGAATAAAAACTTAAATGGGTTTTATGATCTGCATGTAAAGCATTCTGCCATCTAGCGACACTTTGAGTAACTAAAGCTGAAAGGTGCTGCTGATGCTGATGCTGATGATGTGGTCGGGCTGTCACCGGTTGCATCGGTAGCCCTATAAACGCGCGTCGGGTGGTGGGAGGTTTCTGGGATATGGTTAGGATGTAACCTGGACAGAATTAGACAAGTCAGCTTCTGTCCGCTCCAGTCCTCTGCTCACCATCCGTCACGGTCACCAGTTTCCTCTTCCTCAGTCTCCAGAGCTTGTAGAGTCCCTCCTTGTTCTTCTCCATCTCTTCCGTGCTTTCATTGAAGAGGAATGTCTTCAGGACTTCTAGTTGGTCTTCTTGGTGTGGGCGTTGGAGTGAAGTCATCTTGAGCCGTTCTTCTGCGAGTTTGGTGCACTCAAGCAGGAAGTGGTGCTGGTCTTCCTCCCCATCTCCACACAGGAGACACGTGGTTTCTTCGCCAGTGTGTCTCTTCCTAGTCTCCAGCGGGAGCGTGTTGGATCTGGCCTGGAAGAGTATGATTGACGATGCTGTGTTATCGTAGATCGGATCTTCTTTAATGGCTGTTTTGGCAGATCGGTATACCATTATACTGGACTTGGCCTCGAGCTCTTCTTTCCACTGTTTGTCATCCCACTCTTTCAGGCGTTTCTTCAAGGTAGACTTGTTCATCCTCTCCAGTTCTGCAGCATTTAATCCCACAGCTTCCAGGTACCGTTTCGTTGTCTTCGCCCATGTACTTTTCCGCACTTCTAGTTCTGCTCTGGCGATCCTTCTGATGAGGTCGTTGCTTCCTTGCATCGCGCCTCTCAGGAACTGCAAGTGCCCTTCCATGATCCTGGTCTTCATCAGGGAGGTTCCCACCTCACCTCTGAGCGTACAGATCGGCGTGTATCTCGGTGCTCCCAGAATTTGTCTGAACACTCCATTCTCACATACTTGGAGCTTCTTGATGTCTGCGTCCGTAAGGCTCAGGATGCTCGCCCCATGAAGAAACGAAGGGAGCGACAGACATTTCCAATAGCACTTGCCAATCATCAGCTTGTTGCAGCATTTTTGCGTTATTCCGTAGGTCATGTTGGCCAGCTTTTGGGACTTCTGATGCATTACGTTGATGTGTTCCTTGAAGAGCCTTTTCTTGTTTGTGACACAAACTCCCAGGTACTTGATCTGTTGAACCACAGGGATGTCTGCGATGACCTTGGGTTGCTCCTGACAATTGTAGATGATGACCGCGCTCTTGTCTTTGTTTATCTTCAAACCGAACTTGCCACTGATGTCCGCCAGCGTTGTCACTAGGTGCTCTGTCTCCTGTAAAGTCTCAGTTAGGACGAGTCCGTCGTCAGCAAAGAACAACACTGGGATTCGGACAATATCATTTTTGAAGCCCAGTCCCGTATCTGTCAGAGCTTTGGCGATAAGGTATGTTACAATCTTGAAGCTTGTCGTTGACCCATTGCATCCTTGTCGTATTCCTGATGTGACGTCGATGACTGCTTCAGTCCTGTCATTGAGCTTGATTTTCGTTGAGTCTCCCTGGTAGATTTGCGTCGTAGCATCAATGATTTTGGAGTCGATCTTGTAGAACTTCAAGGCTTCTACCATTTCAGCTCTATTAACCGAATCGAAGGCCTTCGAATAGTCAATGGCTGTCACAAACAATGGCTTTTTCCTGCGAAAGCTGTCTTCAACGCAGTAACGCAATAGGAATAAATTGTCTTCAACCTTCCCCCCACTAGTGAAACCTGCTTGTATCTCTAGCATTTCATCATTATACTTTAAGTGACTCTCAATTTTATCCTTCAGAATACTCATGAACAGCTTGTATGATATGTTTGTCAACGCTATGGGACGCAAGTCTTTTGCAGTGGGTTTCTTGATCTTGGGGATCATTTTAGTCTTCGACGTCTTCCACGAATCTGGCTTCGAGTCGGCATCCAGTTGCTGTTGTAGACAGCTTGTTAGGGTATCTAGGCCTTCCTTCGTCATTACGAGTGCTTTGTATAGTTCCGGTTTGAGCAAGTCTGGTCCTGGTGCAGTTTTGTTCTTCAGTCCGGATACTGCTTTTTTCACATCTTCTACTTCAATCTGTGTGGGGTTCATCTGTGATATTTCCTGTCTCACAGGGAGAGCCATATCCATCAACTCTCTCATGTGTCTCGGGAAGTGGGGTCCCTCGTGCACAGTTCTCCTCATACCTTCTTCATATTCCTTCTTCACATCACTGTTCCATATTTTACTGATCTCGTTTGAGTGTTGCTGGTACACAGTTTTCCAGAATTTCACCAGCTCCTCTTCTTCCACTTCTGGTTCCAGTTTCTTGCCTTCATTGTCATACAGTTGGATGTCTTCTTGGTTTCTCTCCTTCTTCCTTAGTTTGTCAATGTTTTCAAACATTGACTTGCTCTTGTTAGCACTGTTCCTGATTTCTTCAGTTGTCTTCTTTTCTGATTTTGTCACAGCCTCTTTCACCATTTCCTGGACCTTCTTTTTCTGTATTTTATACTGTTCATTGAGCAGCTTCTCTTGATCTTTGTCTTTGGTGTTTCGTTTTTCCCGGTTTATGGCCCTGCGTTTCTTGATAGCTTCCCTGATTTCATCTGTGACCCATGGCTTTTCTTTCACCTGTTGCCCTATCAGGCTTTTCTTGCGGTATGTTGCTTTTAACTTGCTGTTGGCCACTTCTGTCATCAGGCCATTGAGCTCCTCTATGTTTGTTATGTTCTCATTTCGGAGCCTTCTCTGCATCTCTTCTCCGAAGAGTTCCAATGAGCCAGCATCTACCTTCCAGAATTCTCTGACACTTGTCGTTCCCTTATTAAAGCTTTGGTTTCTTGTGGGTATTTCCATTCTGACCGAGATCATATGGTGATCTGAGAGGTCAAAAAGCTCCCTCTCTTCATCACCCATTGGGAGTCTACTAGCAAGATCGCTCTGGTGCTCTAAGAAGAGGCGCTGGTGTTAAAGGCCCGTACTCAGCATTGGTAAGTACCACCTGGTGGCAAAAGTTAGTAATTACAATTGTTAGGCACTCGATGTAGAGGCGCTAGTGTTTCAAACGGGTCCGTATCTAAGCTTCGAAAACCGTAGCTTCTAGGGCACACAGCATCCAAAACCGCAGCGTCCAAGGAACTCAACATCCAAAATACGTCCAAAATCGAAAATATAGAGCATTCACATCGTCCAAAATCGCAACATTCAACACCGCAACATCCAAGAACGGCAACATCTAAGGACGCAGCATCCAAGGTACACAACATCAAGAAACATAACCTCCAAAAACAACATCCAGGACCGCAGCATCTAATGTACTCATCAGGGGACTAACAAATTGTCTTAAACTGCAACAACAAAGGTTTGCAACATCCAAAACCGGAGCGTCCAAAGTATGCAACGTCCAATATACAGCCAAAATCAGGTGTATAGGAAGAAATACAAACGTAAAAACTGAAAAATCTAGAAATGCAGCATCAAAAGAAAGCAACAACCAACACCAAAATCACATCAAGTAATTCTGCACCCCCCGCCCCAAACTTGGGGGCAATTCTCTGCCAAGTCATTGCAATGTAGCCACTTTTTAACCCCCTCGGTTTGTAGAGGGGTTCCAGGGGCGGATCCAAGGGGGGGGGGGGTCACATGGGTCATGGCCCCCCCCTTGAGGCCCGAGGGCCCAAAGACCTGCCAGGGGCACCACCGGCCTATCAGGGGTATCACAGTCCTGACAGGGGCACCACAGGACCGCCAGGGGCACCACCGGCCTAGCAGGGACACCACGGGCCTGGTGCCCCTGGGCCCTGACAGGACTGTAACGCCCCTGACAAGCCTGAAGTGTCCCCGGCAGGCACGTGGTGCCCCTGACAGGCCTGAGGCGCCCCTGCAAGGCCGGTGGTGCCCCTGGCAGGCCTGTGGTGTCCATGGCAGGCCTGTGGTGCCCTTGCTAGGCCTCTGGTGCCCCTGACAGGCTTGTAATGCCCCTGGAAGGACTGCAGTGCCCCTGGGCCCTGACAAGCCTGAGGTGCCCTGACAGGCCAGTGGTGCCCTTGCTAGGCCTGTGGTGCCCCTGGCAGGCCTCTGGTGCCCCTGACAGGCTTGCGGTGCCCTTGGAAGGACTGTGGTGTCCCTGGGCCCTGACAAGTCTGAGGTGCCCCTGACAGGCCCGTGGTGCCCTTGTTAGGCCTGTGGTGCCCCTGGCAGGCCTCTGGTGCCCTTGCTAGGCCGCTGGTGCCCTGGCAGGCCTCTGGTGCCCTGCTAGGCCGCTGGTACCCCTGCGCCCGGAGAGGACTGGTGCCCTGAAAAGTCTGAAGTGCCCTCGGCAGGCCCGTGGTGCCCCTGACAGGCCAAGGTGCCTCTGCGAGGCCGGTGGTGCCCCTGGCAGACCTCTGGTGCCCTGGCAGGTCTGTGGTGCCCCTGGCAGTTCTGTGGCGCCCCTGGCAGACCTGTGTTCACTGGTGCCCCTGCTAGGTCGCTGGTGTCCCTCACAGACCTGTGGTGCCCCTGGGCCTTGACAAGCCTGAGATGCCTGGCTATGACAGGCTCGTGGTGCCCCTGATAGACCAGTGGTGCCCTTGCTAGGCCTGTAGTGCCCCTGGCAGGCCTCTGGTCCCGCCC